TCGATTCCTCAGCACCACATAAGCAAAAAGAAAAAAGCCGGAAGTGGCGCTGTGGCTCAAGTGGTAGAGCGCTAGCCTTGAGCTGAAGAGCTGAGGGCCAGCACCCAGGCCCAGAGTTCAGGCCCCACAAGCGGATCCCCCCCCCAAAAAAAAGTGACCAAATGAGCCAGGTATCATTGACTTGTCCTGTAATCTTAGCTACTTAGGAGGCTAAGGCACAAGGACTGCAGTTCAATGCCAAGGCCAGGCAGGAAAGTTCATGAGACTGTTTTTCTTGTTTGTTTGTTTTTGTCGGTTGTGGTGCCTGAACTCTGGGCCTGGGCATTGTCCCTCAGCTCTTCAGCTCAAGGCTACCACTCTACCACTTGACCACAGCGCCACTTCTGGCTTTTTCTGCATATGTGGTGCTGAGGAATCAAACCCAGCAAGTGCTTTACCATTAAGCCACCTTCCCAGCCCCTCTCATGAGAGTTATTTCCAAATAACTCTTCCCCCTACCCCAACAAAAGGCCTGAAATAGAGCTGTGGCTCAAGTGGTACAGTGTAAGCCTTAAGCAAAAAGAAAAAAGGTCAGGGACAGAACCCAGGCCCAGAGTTCAAGCCCCAGGAGAGGCATATGCATGTAGACACACCGACACACACACACACACACACACACACACCGACACACACACACACACCGACACACACACACACACACACACACACACACACACACACACACGACCAAATGACTCTGAATTCTCTCAAAAGAATCTTCAGAGAGGGGCATAAAAAATCCAATTTCTTCTCAGAGTAATGTCATTGTGAATTCTACTAATCTGTGAACTATCTTTTCTTTTTCTCATTTAGGACAGCCAAAATAATGAATATAGGATATAAGAAGAACAGGAGATTTAATATTATGATACACAACATTTTTACATACAGTTTAATATGATTGGTTACTAGATTATAATTTATTATTATTGTTGTTGGTTTTCAAAGGTTAGATTTATACAGACAAACATTAAAAATGAATATATCTTTTATATACTCAGTTGTATCTAAAAATAGAGCATATCTAAAATCTTATCTCTAAAACACATGAAACTGGTCCACTCTTGAAAAATGCAGTTCCCTCTTATAACAACTGACTCTGAGTAAGACAATCAGTTGGTCTCCATTGTTATATTCAAGATGTCCATTTCAGAAGACATCCCTTGCTGTAGGAATCTTTGTTTTTTTCACCAAATACTTACAATGCTAGCTACTTAATATTTCCTGTTTTTTAAAAAAAATTTTGCCAGTCGTGGGGCCTGAACTCTGGGCCTGGGCGCTGTCCCTCAGCTCTTCAGCTCAAGGCTAGCGCTCTACCACTTGAGCTACAGTGCCACATCTGGCTTTTTCTGCTTATGTGGTGCTGAGGAATAGAACCCAGGGCTTCATGCATGTAAGGCAAGCACTCTACCACTGAGCCACCTTCCCAGGCCCTAATACTTCCTATTTTAAAAAATCAGGACAAGTACAGTTTGTGGGTATTTTGGAGTAATTTCATTTACATACTATGAATCAAGTGACTGCTCAGTAATCTGAAAGAAGAGTACCTACTGGATAAATTATGTGACACAGCTTTTGTCACTAGTAAAGGGGAAAAGATCCACTGTAAAACAGAGGTCTAAGTTAAGAAATCAAGCATTTCACTGCTATAAATTACTTCGGATAAGTAATACTGAAAGGATTACAAAAGAAAAACCACACTCATTTCAACAGTTTACAAAGGTATCATGCTATTTCCCCAGTCCACATCAACTCTGATCTTACCTTCTGATGTCCTGGGAAAGCACCAAGTCTTATTTCTGCATCAACAAATGCTTCTTCATCCAATATCACAACTTCACCATTGCCTCCATCTTTCCACTTTGGAGATGTCAGGTTATGAACCAATTTAATTGCTACTGACTTGTGGACAGTGTTTGTATTTGCCCAATATATTCCAATTTGAAAAGCCTCCTGAAAAATAATTCCTCAGTTATTTTTCATAACTCTGGTATTTTTAACATCAACCTACAGGACCTTAAAATACTATGTAATAAGTCTATTAAAGCAGCCAAATATCTTCCTATTTTTTGTACTGACAATATATATTCAATCTTGGTTTCCATTGTCTTTACAACTGATTTATAACTGATATCTACATTTATAAATGGGGGAAAACACACTCAAGATGTGACTACGAAAGGCTAAAAAACAAATAGGTCAACATTCCAATTCTATAAGGTAACAGCATTTGATTTTTTTTAAAGGAAAAATGCAATTGAATAAAGATGTTTGTGGACTAAAACTAAAAAAAAAACAACTGATACTTTGTTCTATCAGGAAAATATTTTTCTTATGATTTTTTACTCTATTTTCTTTTCCCTCCTTCCTACCCTTCGTGTTCTCTTTCTCCCTTCCTTCCTTCCTTCCTTCCTTCCTTCCTTCCTGCCTTCCTTCCTTCCTTCCTTCCTTCCTTCCTTCCTTCCTTCCTTCCTTCTTTCCCTTCCCTTCCCTTCCTTCCTCTCTCCTTAGCACCATTCAGATTTCAGAGAATTTTCAGAACTGAAAAGAATATGCAGGGAGTGGATTAGGACATAATATGGCTTTGTATCCTTAACACCTTGAGAAGACAAACCCTGATATTGTCAAATGTTCTGTATGCAATGGAAATGAGAATGTAACTAGTAAAACTTACCACATTTAATGACAAATCAACCATGAATACTGCTGATGAGGAAAAAATACATCTGAAAAGTCTGAATATCAAAGAACATTCCACACCCCTTACGTATACACCTACCAGGACAGTCCACAGATGATTCACTGTTAAGATCATAAAGGCAATCTCAGAATAAAATCTGGTTGTTAAGACAAAAGATTTATGTTCATTTAAAAAGTTAATTAATACCTGAAAATTAGGAGGGATAATAATTTTGCCAGCAGGAACCTGCAGAACAATCTTCTCGCCTTCAAATAGCCAGAGGTCCCACTTGGACTGATTGATAAGCAGGGCCCAGGGTAGAAGTTCTATCAACAATGTTCTAACATATGGCTTCCAGATTGACAGCTTCACTCGCATTGGGCTATCCCACTGACTCAGCTGTTCATTCCTGTTCCAAATACCACATCCAAGAGACTCGATGAAATATGATGACTTAAGTATTCATGAAATATGTTTAAGGATTCCAGACACACAGTGCTCCTGTACGATAACTCTTCATATCAGACTCATTCAATGTGCAAGCAAGAGAAAACAACTTTTCATGCACTTATGTTCTATATTATGAGTTAAAAAATACTATAAAATATACCTAACTAGATGATGAAAGATGGGAATATGCCAGATACATGTAAATCCCACCCCTTCCCACCACCATTTTACAGTATGTACAGAAAAAGATCACTAAGGAATGGTACCTGTCAGAATCCTTCTTGTTATAGGGCCATGTGGGGACAAGGAACTTTTCGGGCCCATAGAAATCATCAAGGATTTGATTAACTGTGCCTCCAGGGTGGATTTTAGTGGCTATTTGCCTAATAAGTGCTGTTGAAATGGGAACAGCACAATCTGAAGGATCATATTCTTCCCTAGGAAACAAAAAGAAAAAATAGATAAATTTCTAATGTGGTCTATAATTTACTAAGAAAAATATAACTACAAATAGAATATAGATTAATACTTTTATATAAGACTGAGCCTATTTTTTGTGATTTAGGAATTTATGACACAGTTTTGGGATGATCTGGGTGCTCACTTTTCCTTCTCATCTGCCCATGTTTGGATAAGAATTCTAGTCACATTTTCAACTACAACATAATGTGTCAATTAAATATAAATTATACACACACACACACACACAGATATATAGTCATGGGGCTTGAACTCAGGGCCTGGGGACTATCCCTGAGCTCTTTTGCTTAAGGCTAGAGCTCTACCACTTTGAGCCATAGTGCCACTTACAGTTTTCTGGTGGTTTACTGAAGAGTCTCACAGACTTTCCTACCCAGGCTGGCTTCAAACCACAATCCTCAGATGTCAGTCTCCTGAATAGCTAGGATTACAGGCATGAGCCACTGGCATCCAGCAAATTATATTTTTTGATTATTACTCTTGGTTCTTTTTTTGAGTGTGTAGTATTGGGGATTACACTCAAGGGCTTATGCTTGTACTCTACCACTTGCAACAACTTGCTTTTCATATAGGATCCTGCACTAACTTTTGGCATAGACTGTCCTCAAATCACAACTCTCTTTTCTCTGCTTCCCAAGGAGCTGGAATATATAAGTGAACCACCACACCCATCTCCTCTCTTAGTAATTTCTAAGCTTAATGAGAAAGGCTGAGTTTTATGTAAATCCTTAGAAAAGAATAAGAGAATACTAGTCAGGGCAACTTAAAAGATCATTTTCTCCTAAAATAAGAAATCATACAATAAACCCCACCCATCTTTCCTCCTCTTCCAATAGTACCAGGTTTCTTTTCAATTGAATTGTTTTTAGGAAAACACAAAAATATAACGTACATAATGGGTGCTGGCAGAATTGGCTATACACATGTAGAAAACTGAAGTTAGATCCAGAATCAATGACCTTGAGGTAAGAGCAAATATCCTGAAAATATTACAGGAAGGGATAGGGCATATACTAGGGCTCCTTGGCACAGGTCAAAACTTCCTAAATAAAGATCCAGAAACACAACAAATCAAAGAAAGGCTGGATAGCTATGATTGCATTAAACTGCAGAGCTTCTGCAGGGCAAAGGACATAGTTAGCAAGATAAACAGAAAGCCCATAGATTGGGAGAAGATCTTTACTAGATATATAACAGACAAGGGCATCATATAAAAAATACACTAGAGCTAAAAAAACAACAACAAAAACCCTAACAACAAATCCACAAAGAAAGAACTACCCCATTAATAAGTGGACTACAGAATTAAAAAGAGACTTCTCTGAAGAGGAAATAAAAATAACTAATAGACACACGAAGAATGTTCAACATCTCTGACCATAAAAGAGATGTAAATCAAAACTACATTGAGATTCCACCTCACCGCAATTAGAATCGCCATTATCAAGACAACAAATAATAACAGATGCTGGCAGGAATGTGGCCAGAAGAAAATGATAGTACACTGTTGGTGGGAATGTAAACTTGTTCAACCACCCTGGAAAGCAGTATGGAGGTTACTCTAAAGACTAAACATAGAGCTCCCCTATGATCCAGCAATCTCAATCCTAGGCATTTATCCAAATGATCACAAACAAGGCCATACTAAAGCTACCAGCACAACTATGTCCACTGCAGTATTATTTATCTAGCCAAGGTATGAAATCAACCTAGATGACCCTCAGTAGATGAATGGATCAAGAAAATGTGGTATATATAGACAAAGGAATGCTATGCTTCCATCCAAAAGAATGACATAGCCCCATTCATAAGGAAATGGAAAGATTTGGAAAAAATAATATTAAGCAAAATAAGCCAGACCCAAAGAAACACAGGCTCCATGGTTTCCCTCATTTGTACTAATTAGTATATATCTAGGAAAGTCCTAGCAAAGGATCACAATAGCTCGATAGCTATGTACGTACATATGACCATATAAAAGGATGTTAACTGAAATGAACTCCAAGATATAGAAACAATGTTGTTGTTGTTTTAATGAACTGTGTGATGTTATTTCTTTTTCTTTCTTTCTTTTTTCCTTTGGTTTATCCCCTGTTGTCACTGTTTTTGATTTTGGTACCCCAGGTCTTGTATATACATTTATCTGTTTTGGGGAAGCACAGGGGAATAACAAAATGGTGACACAAAGGACAAAGGGTGAACCAATTCAACAATGTTACTCTCAAGACACTATGTTGTAAATGAACTTTACAACTTGGTGAGATGGGGAGCTGGGGGCGGGGAGGGAAAGTGGGAGAAAATGAGGAAGGGGGTAACACTGTTTGACAAGAAATGTACTCATTACCTTACTTATGTAACTATAACTCCTGTATACATCGTGTATACATCGTGTTAAATTTAAAATATAATTAAATTAAAAATTAAATAAAAAAATATAATGTACTTAGCCAATACCTTGCTTGAAATGTTAGGTGATGTACAAGGTCAGGTTCTATGTTCTGCAGTGGTTTTTCCTGTCCTTTTCCTGGAATAATCTGTGTTTCACTCAATCCCAGACTCCTTTTCTCCAAATGTATGATAATGGGATCTGGAAGATGACTCCTCATGATAAAAAGAGGGCTGAACACAATCTATAAAAATAAAAGGACAGAACAACTTTCATATTTGCTTTGTTGCAGTATTCCAGCTGCTTGATGCTGAAACAAACTTGCAATAAATCTCTTCCTTGGGTCACTCTGACCTTAATTTATTTCGGAGCAGAAAAGGTCAGAGCCACATACCATATTTCAGGGTTGGGAAAGCACTCACCATTCGTTGTTGCACTTGAGAGTTGGGTTCCAAAGTCAAAACTGTGCACCAGACATAAATAATAGAACTGTCTGAAGCTGGCACCTGCAAATGAGATGGAAAAGGGTCCTGTTAGATACTAGTCTACTAATTGATCAAAATAAGACATGCATTATTAGTTTGGATGATAAAAATGTTTAATGTTATATAAAAAAGCCACTCACAAAACAACTAAACAAAATCAGATTTTATCATGGCAAAAGTGGATGGCTGTTTCCATAAAGATGAAGGGTTTTGCAATGGAGAGTGGAAAAGAAGCCAGTGTGAGAGTGGAAAAGATGATTTGTTCTTTATGGGAATAAAAATGATGATGGTGAAGACTGGGGGAGAGATTAAAAAACTAACCATCACAAAAGTCCTCAAGTATAGAGGCTGCCACCCTGTATTTCCTGCCACCCCCCTCAGGCTTGGTATGTCAGAATCTTTTTCAAGGTTCCAGGAAGAATAGAGATGGGAGGGCAACCATTTGAGAAGCACTTTCCAAAGCTTTTCTAGATTCTTTTCAGATTTCTCCCCTTTTGTACACATTACTTAGTAATAAGATTAAAAAGTAGTATTTTAATAGATTAGGTTCTACATCAAGTAAAAAGCATATTGTGAAAATATCCCTTGCTACTACTCTCTTTGAGATTGTACCACTTCTCATACCTGAATGACAATGCTGTCCTCAGAAGCTTTGGGATCCAGGCACACATCTCTTGACCAATCTTCATCTCCTTTGGCTTTAACACACAACTCTGTCAATTCATTGTTTTCTAATATGTATGAAGGTAATTTCTGTTTTGCGGTGAGGCAGTCAAAATGTTCTCGAACTACAGCTTGACCATCTTGACCAATGTAATGCTGAACGACTTTCAGTTCTATGCTTTGCGACAAATAACTACAGATGATCTGTCTTCCACAGATGATAATCTAAAAGACAATGTAAGATTTCATCAGTTTGGGCTTTATTAACAATAAATATATAATAATTCAGACAGACATGTTGGTGTTCATTAAAAATGTACTTAGGAAACAGAGCTTCAAGAAAATAACTCAACAATCATACTGAGTTGCAATATTCAAAGGAGATGAAGAGGCAGTGCCCAGTTAGAAATATTGGTCGGGTGCTTGAAAGAGAAGATGGAGCTGGGGATAAAGACTTGTGGAATAAATGCAAATAGTACCAACAGAGGGGAGAGTGGAAGCTCAAACCTACAAAGTGACCAAAACTGTAGGCAGACTTAGGGTGAGAAACCATATAGTAGGGCTGGAAAAAAATGTGTGTGTGTGTGTGTGTGTATCCATCCATCTACATACAGTCAAACCTGTGTGTTATAACTGTAACTTTTTAGGGAGATGAGGGGGACAGGAAGAAGGAAAGATAATAGAGGTAGGTGGAGGGATGAGGAAAAGAGAGCAATAGATAAGCTTAACTTGACTAAATTATAATATATTCACATGTGAAATACTACTGTGAAATCCTTTTGTGAAATTAATAACACTAAAAGTAATGAAAAAAGCATTAACGGGAAAGTAAAATAGGCTCTGTTGGGGGCAGATAACAATGGGAGGAAAAGTTTCAATTAAGCAAGTGAATGAGGTGACTATGCTCAAAGTACTTCATATGCATGTATCAAAATAAAACAATGAAACTTGTTAAAAGAAGGAGAGAATGAGGGACAGTGATGGTAGAGCAAGTTTAGAGTACATTGTATGCATATATGAAAATGTAACAAAACTCTTTTGGGTAAGTAATGCTTTAAAATATCATAAATAACAAAAGAAATGTTTCTTGTATCGGTTACAATTGAAAGTGTATTTTTCCCATTTGGCCACATCCCTGCCAGCATCTCTTCTTATACACTGTTGGTGGGAATATAAACTTGTCAAACCACTCACCACAGTAGAGATTTCTCAAAAGACTAAATGTAGAGCTTCCTTATGACCCAGCAATTCCACACCTGGGCATTTATCCAATTGACCATAAACTAGGCCACTCTAAAGCCACTAGCACAACCATGTTCATTGCAGCATTGTTTACCATAATCAAAATATGGAATCAACCCAGATGCCCCTCAGTGTCATGGATCAAGAAAATGTGGCAAATATAAACAATGGCATTCTAAGCTTCCATTAGAAAGAATGATATTGCCCCATTCATAAGAAAATAGAAAGACCTGAAAAAAATTATCTTAAGCAAAGTAAGCCAGACCTAAAGAAACATAGGTTGCATGGTTTCTCTCATTTGTAATAATCAGAATGTGCCTATAAATCTACAAGTAAACCAAATGGATAGTAAAAGACAAAAAATTACACTTGGACATGATACATTAAACAGGATTCTAAACATTCACAGAGTGAGACCAAAGGAGGCTATTCTTTAGGAGAGGATCACAAGGGCTCAACAGCTATGTGCATATGATCATATAAAATGATGTTTATCAAAATGAACTCCAAGAAATGGAAACAAGAGGTTTTTCAATGTTACTTTTTGTGTTTTTTTTTTCTGTTTTTCTCCTTTTGCCACTGTTTTTTTTTTTATTTCCGTACCTCTTGACTTGTATGTAAGTTTATCTGATTTGGGTAGGGGAAGGGGAAACACAGTATGGTGGGACAAAGGGTGAATTAATTCAGCAGTGATACTCACTAGACACTACGTTAAAATAAACCATACAACTTTTTGGGGTTGGGGTGGGGTGTCGGGAGAGAAAAAACTGGGAGAAAACAAAGGAAGAGGTGACACTGTTCGAAAAGAAATGTACTCAATACCTGACTTATATAACTGCAACCCTTCTGTATATCACCTTTACAATAAATAAAGTATATTGCAAGTGTACTCTCTTATGTAGGAAACATTTTAAAAAAGTAAATCCTTCTATAACATGAATATGTATAGCATACTAACATGCTGTACATATTATTTTTTTTTGGGGGGGGGTCGGGTCATGGGGCCTGAACTCTGGGCCTGGGTGCTGTCCCTCAACTCTTCAGCTCAAGGCTAGCACTCTACCACTTGAGCCATAGCGCCACTTCCGGCTTTTTTCTGTTTGCTTATGTGGTGCTGAGGAATCGAACCCAGGGCCTCATGCATGCAAGGCAAGCGCTCTACCACTGAGCCACCTTCCCAGCCCCCATATTATTATTTTATAATGTGAGAAATATTAAAAGTAAGAAATATAACCTAGCATTACTGGCTTATACTTGTAATCCTAGCTATTCAAGAGGTTGAGATCTTAATATTGCTGTTCAAAGCCAGCCCAGGCAGAAAAGTTTGCGAGAGTCTTACCTCCAATCAAACACCAAAAAAGCTGGAAGTGGATTTGTAGTTGAGTGCTGACCTTGAGCCCAAAAGCTCAGGGACAGCACAAGCTGTTACACCCCCCCCCACCCCTGCCTGCCAAAAGAAGAAATACAGTTTTGTAAAGCAAGCTTTATAATTTCAAGCTGAAACTATCCTAGTAGATACATTTCTATGCCATTATGACATGGTTATGCTGTACCATGATTTTTTAAATCAACTATTAGTTACACAAATAGATAAATCACTAATTTTTAATGGATTCTTTATTCATTACAAACAAATCTACTAGACTGATAGACCTCAAATTAAATGTCATTGTTGTTTTGTTTGTTTGAAGAGTGGGATTCAGAATTTTTTTAATTATTTGAATTTCTCTAGAAGGAGCACATGTATAAAACAAGCTATGCTTCACTACTATACTTTTTCCAGGAATTATAATCTTTTAAAAAAACTATGCTTTCAGAAGAACAAACCACAAAAGTCAGCTAGAGTCCTAAACTGACAAGCTTTTCTTTATCATGTGCTAAGGATTACTAAACAATGTTAAATCTTACGATGTCATAGCAGCAGATAACTTTAAATAAACATTTGAAAGTGTTGAGGCAGTATTTGACTCTGTTTTTATTCTTGGTATGCCCAGGCCTAGCAATACATGTGCATGACTTCACAACCTTTGGACCTCAGGAGATTCAGAAGAGAGTATTTGTCTTTCACAGAAACCACAGACTCTGCAGCCATCTGGGACTCGCTTCATTTAGAGACAAAGATTCCCTTGGTGAATTTTTATATAGTCCCATTTTCAACTAAAAAGCCTGTTAAATAGGTTTTCCAATTTGATTAAAAAAGAAAAAGAAAATTATGAAAAGTGGCCAGGGAAGGAAGACTGCTGAGATGAAGGAAAATTCAAAATGGCTACTCATTTGAATGCTGCTCTTTCACGGTGGCAGGTTCAGAGGAGTTGTCTGCTTTTCTTCAAAGTGGCTTTTAAGTGTCTTGAATTTGAAAATTATGGTTGGAATTTCAAGATTAATTTCTCAGTTGAAGACAGCTACCTAATTTTTTAAAATGTAAGGTTTCTCTTTAAAACACATTTTCAGGTTTCACACTAATTCCTCTCTTTTCCCCAAGCCACAAAGATGTGTATTGAAGATTTCCACATATGATTTTACTTAGCAGGTTTCAGAACTCTTATTAAATCAGTGCCAAGAAGAATAGTGATATTAAAGAACAACTCCAGAGCACCAGATGCACTGAAAATGATATCTTAGCCATGATTAAAAGTGTATGTATAAAGATACAAATATATATACATCCAAGCTTTTACATTGGTAAAGGTTTCTTCAATGAAGAAATGGGAAACACAAAAGCAAGTAAGTATACATGAGTGTTATATAATGTACTAAATTCCTGGGAGATTTGGTATGTGGTCAATTTTCATTGGGGGAAATGAGAGAGTACAGGAAAGGCAGAACACTTACAAACAAATATCAAGGTTGAAAAGAGCTTTAGCCAATTTTCTATCATCCGGGGGCATATTAATGCAGTTAAGGCACAATGGAGATCTGCATATACTCACCTCCCCAAATGAGCCTTGGTAATTAGGCAGCTGCAGTTTATTGCAAATTTCCAGGCCCAGGTGGAGTAGAAGGAAAAAAGCCAAGACACGAGGGAGGAAAGAATCTATGAAGCTTTTCTGAAAACCTAGTTCCTTTCTTCCTTCCTATAACCTCACCAACTGAGGAAATTTCTCTGATGTGCTTTAACTACACCAAATCTGATTATAGGTTAAACTACCTGGCTAATACAAATTAAATCTAATTTAAAAAGATACTTCAAACTTTTGCTTGTTTGTGTGACTGAGAAGATGGAGAGAAGAGAGGTTAAAACTTTCTGAGACATTCCTCGAACAACCTTTCTCTGACATTTGGTACACTGTTGTAATGTATAATACCTGTGAAGGAACACTGCATACATTTATTCCTAAAATTTAACATCATTCCTTGAAAATACATATCCATTGAAAAATGAGGCACTATCTAGTCTCACCTAAAAAGGCCATGTAGTGTTGCTCATGCCTGAGAATATTTTATTATAGTAAATCTGTCTGAAGTTTATTGGACTATGACTGTAGGCTAGGCACATATTAGCATTTTGTGTATACAAACTCATTTAATCCTAACTTCTTGAAGAAGGCAAAATAACTACCCTCGATTAATAGAGAAACTGATTTACAGTCAGGCACATTGCTTCTAATTCTTGTTACTTGGTAGGCAGAGATTGGAGAACTGTGCTTTGAGAAGAGCTGGAGCATTAAAGTAGTTCATGGGACTCCATCTTATAAGCCAATGACTGGGCATGGTGGTAAGCACCTGTCATTCACAGTGAAAGGGGAAGCACAGTAGAATAACCCAAGTTTAAGGTGGCCTAAACATAAAGCAAGAGCCTACTTTGAAAATAACCAAGGCAAAAAGGGCTGGAGGTATAGCTCAAATAGTAGAGTGCCTGCTAAATAAGCTCACTTCCAAGAACTGCCAAAAAACAGATAAAGATGGAGAGGGAGAAAGGAAGAGGGAAAGGAAAAGTAGAGAGGAGAATAGGGGAAGAGAGACAGGGAGACAGAAACTGTTTTACAAAGAGGTTTATAGCTTGCTGGAAATCACATAGCTATTAGCAAGGGAATATTGGTTGACAGGTTTGTCAGTGATCTTACCTATGACGGAAGATCCTGCAATTTTACTCATGGGTGAGTGTTCTAGAAAATCAAATGCAAGAGTTGTACAAACTGGAAAAGTTTAGTTCAGAGCTATGACAACCAAAGTATGGCCCCTGGACCAGCATTATCAGTATCACTGGGAACTTTTGAGAAATGCAAACTTTCAGGACACTGGAAGAATTTTCTGTACCTGAAACTTTGGTAGTAAGGCCCAGCAGTACATGCTCCAATAAGACCTGTAGGGATTCTGATCATATTGGCTATATCTTTATGTTTATTCTTTTCTTTTAGACTTTATTTATTTTATTTTTTTATTTGTCGGTTGTGGGGCTTGAACTCTGGGCCTGGGCGCTGTCCCTCAGCTCTTCAGCTCAAGGCGAGCACTCTACCACTTGAGCCACAGGGCCACTTCCAGTTCTCTGAGTGGTTTATTGGAGATAAAGAGTCTCACATACTTTCCTGCCCAGGATTGGTTTTGAACCATGATCCTCAGATCTCAGCCTCCTGAGTTGCCAGGATTATAGGCGTGAGCTACTGGCGCTCAGCACTTTTAGACTTTAAAAACATCATTTTTTTTTATTGTGGCAACTGTATATTATAAAATTTTCAGTTTTTTTAAAGAAAAAATTATGTTACTTTAAGTAAGTCAGGCTCAGAGAGACAAAGGGCATGTTTTTCTCTCATATATAGAAGTTAGAAACCTAAAATACAAACATACAGGAAAGCATATACTGGTCCATATGCGTATATCCACGATCAAACTAAAGTGTAGTATCTGCAGGGGTAGATTCCCATGCTGTAACTCCTTTGAACAACTGACAGTTTAAGAAAATGATTATCAGGAAGTTGAGGAAGGAGACTTAAGGGGAGGAGGACAGAGGAATTAAGCAGAGTGTGCAAACACAGTCACAATACTCAATATACAGGTGTGAAAAAGGAACTTGGAAGCTTGAGGGGATGAAGGACTGTAAAAAAAGGACTGGTAGAGTCCTCATAAAGGTTGTGTGTCCCTCACAGCTTTGGAGGACAATAAAAGCTGGTGGGAATGATGAGATTTCAAGTCGCATTTCAGAGACAACATCCTACTAGCTGGTAGAAATAACAATAGAAAGGGCTACATGTGAGGGAATGGGCTTCTTGTTTGAACTATTCCAATAGAAGCTGAAGGATCATTTCTCAGAAATTTTTAGTGGATGGAAAGGTGGATGAGGCATTCCCAACAAACCATGACTGATAGAATCAGAAAGCCAATGTATATTTGTCAGGAAGGTATTTACTGAGAACTCATGCATGTATGAGAACTCTGAGGGAAGTTGTGAGTCAGTGACACTTCAGTGTCTTAGGACTATACTTGACGCTGGCCCCTTCATTAATAAGATTTACTTATCTTATGTGTGTAGTTTTGTCTATGCTATCCTACCTGCTTTGAACATTAATTCAAATTTTATACATTTTCAAAATTCTATACATTTCTTTCAAGCTGCTTAATGAAGCCTCTAAATTCCCTTCAGACTTATTGTCAGTGGCTAGATTTACATAAATTTGCAACTTAAGAGCAAAGACTGTGTCACATACTTGGTGTCTTCCATTTTATTGTGTGTTCGTCTTAGGTAACCAGTTAGTTAAACAGAATGAACAGTTTATGGGAAAGATTTCCACACTTCTTGTCTGAATCTTCTGCTACAGTTCTCTTTTGATTTCTGTTGCAAACAAAGTGAAAACAGAGGCCACGTCTCTGATAAGGTGTGGACCAAGAGCATCTATGCTACCGCCCTGCATCCTTTGCCTGTTGCTTCTTGCTTGTTTCTTAGCATAGGGTAATAGAAGAGTTGCTGGTTGGTGAGAGGAGTTCCAGCTTTTAAGGGACGGAGTGCTGCTCCTACTACTCAGTGCCCATAGGCTCCGGGTCGACTGTCATAATCCAGGTGCAGATGTGTATGTTAAAACTCTCAGGACAAATCCAGTTTCTTTGTGTACTGTGAAGCCAGTTTTCAGATTTTAATACTTCCCTTTTTTCCTTTCTACCTTATCATGTGCTCCATGTTTGAAAAACATCTCTTAGAAACCACATTTTCAGTTCTTAAGAATACACAAAAAAGTGTCAGATACTTTTTCCCTTTTGCAGTCTTAGAACTTCAAAAACAGCCAAAAGGAAGTTTTATAAAATATATAAAAATATGTGCTGAGAGCTGAGGTTTTATATGCCAGGAGTTAGACTGCAGTGAATTTTTACTGCAGTTAATATTAACTCCTATGAAAAGAGAAGCTTGCAGGAGACCCAGGCATTCCGTTCTTCACAGGAGAGTACTGCAACACTTTCACACAGATTATTCTCATATGTACGAGGAGAACAACTCCTGGTTATCCACTGGTGGATTATCCAGGGTCTCCAGCACCCTTTGCTTCTTTTCCTTCTCAGGAAAGGCCCTTTGGCTATTTCACAGCTCATTAGCACCTCTACCAGAAGGTAGGTGGTGACAGGGAGAAGAGGTGAAACTAACATCAGTAAATTTTACTGCTCGTTAGCAGCTCTTGTAAAAGATGTGGGACAAAAGGACTGAAACTACCATCACTACCACCACCATCATCATCAGGGAGATCAACAAGCACTTGTTTAATGCTCACAGGCACAGCAGTAGTGGGCATAACTATGCAAAACCATTTGTGATGTTTTCATTACCAGTTATTTACACTTCTTTTGAGTTTCATCTTCATTATGCCAAATATTTAGAAGTTGCCTCGCTCGCGAACCCAAGGAGACTTACCTGCTTTTGTACTCCACTGAGTTGTTGAACCTTGATGATGAGGGAAGCAGTTCGGCCCTTGTACTGAATTGTTCTAATGAATGTCCCAGCATGGTCCACACTGAAGGGCTCAGACCAACGCCAATTGCCCCAACCTTCAATACAGATGTGTAACAGCTGGACAGAAAAACAATAATCATCACAATGCCAAACATGCCAACAAAAAATCTTGTTCTGAAATGAAAGTCTCATTGTTGGAAGACGCTCCTATTTGCACATCTAGCATCTGTTTTCTTTCTAACCTGTATTATTCATCCACTTCCAGCTTATTTCACCAGGCTAAGAATAGCAAATGTGCCACATACAGTCAATGTCATTTTTCAGATCACATTTTAAGCCTGGTAAAACATAATGGTCCTATGAAATGGTTAAAAGTCTGTTGAACATTTAAGAGAAGACCATTTTGTTAATTTGAAGGACAAGAGTTTAAAGTGAAGTCAAAGAATGCTAGTTAGGGCTGATAATTTATTTTTTTTTTACGTTAAATTGCCTTATTTTTTCTTTCAATAAAGAACATAGGCGAAGATGCAATTCACTGAACATATTCTTTTTAAGATATTGCAGTATCAAATCAAATGTTTTGATGTAAAATGTTTTGTTCTTTTCCTTTTTATTGCATTATGTATTTATTGTAATGTTTACAGTTTAATCTCTTGATTTGTATTTTTATTTATTCATACAGTATTGCTACTGTTGGAAATATCTGGATTTCTTTTGTGGTTATTAAAATGTACTAGTTTCAATACTACCTATCAACTGAATCTGAGAAAACCAAATTACATAGGAATATAAAAAAAGCAACAACAAACAAACCACCCCATAATAATTAGTACTTCTTTAGGCTTTACAGTTAAATGAAAATAATGTTCTTTATGCTTATAGAGAGAGGGAATCTTTTCTTTGCCAAGAGCCACTTGGATATTTATAACATCGTTTTCCATACAAAATTATTAGTGTAGGCAGCTGGGCAAGAAGCATAAAAGAAGCACACATATCTGAACTATCATGTACCAAATAATTTCTTATTCTTATATAGCCCATGGGCCAAATGTTCTCCACCTCTGAAAGGAAAGAAAACTCACAAAACACTCTCAACTGACAGATTAAATACTACTTGGAAAACCTCTTTAAGAGTTATCATAATAGATACACTAATGATTTACATGAGCACTGCCATAATAATAATAAGTCTTGTTGAAAGATTATTTTCTCGTTTTAGCCTTTGGAGGAACCTATGACAACATGCTTCTGTTTTAGAATTCCCAAGCTAAGGTAGAACTTAAAAGAAACATAGGCTCCATGGTTTCCCTCATTTGTAATAATTAGTATATGTCTAGTATATGTCCTAGCAGAGGATCACAATAGTTCAATAACTATGTACATATGACCATATAAGATGATGCTAATAATAATGAACTCCAAGATATGAAAACAAGAGGTTTTTCTTTGTTGTTATTTTTAATGTACTATGTGTAATTCTTTCTTTTTTCTTTCCTTTTGGTTTATCTTCTGTTGTCGCTGTATTTGATTTTGGTACCCTATACTTTGTGTATGTGTTTTTCTGATTTGGGGAAGGGAAGGAGAACAACAACATGGTGAGACAAAGGACAAAGGGTGAACCAATGCAACAGCGATAATCACAAGACACTATGTTGGAAATGAACTTTACAACTTGGTTGCGGGGGTGAGGGTTCGGTGAAGGGAAAGTGGGAGAGAAATGAGGGAGGGGTAACAATGTTTGACAAGATACTCATTGCCTAACATACATAAACCCTTTGTACACTATCTTGACAATAAAATTAAAAAAAATAATAAATATCTAAAGAAAGTATTCAAGGGCTACTAATAAGATACCTTCTAAAAAAGAAAACTAGCTGATAAAAAAATAAAAAAACTTAGATAGCAAATATCTTAAGGGGAAAATATGCATAACCCTTATAAAATAAAAGTACCAGTGTGTCTTTGAAGTTTGAATATTAGTTACAGGAAAAAAGAAAAACAATAGCAGTGTTTGGAACTATTTCAGTTTTTTTTTTTAATAGCAGCAACTAGGAATAAAGCTGAGGGCACACACAAAACTTTAAGAAACAAAAAATATTTACTTTGGAGAGACAGGTAGCTGGAAATGACAAAAAATTAATGAAGATCAAAAAGTAATTAAGATCATGCTATATTTTTTCTGAATATCCCAAAGAGTCTAGAGAAAGCTTTAATATCCACATGCAATTTTAACTAAGGATGAGCTCAGTTTTAAAAAGCTGCTTTCTATGCATAAAGTTTTTAATGATCAAATTTCACGTTTTGCTAGGCAACAATTTTTTCTAAGAATCTTGGCACAGATTTTTTTTGAATTATTAAAAAAATCAGATATTGTTGGGCTTAGTTCACACAGAAAAGTTGGCAAAAATACTAATAACACTTTCTCCATGTGCATCATCAATTTATTATTTGTAATGTTTTGGTCTACTGTCAAAAAACATTTAAATATCAGCTGGTGTTCATGGCTTATGTCTATAATTCTAGCAACTCAAAAGACTATGGATTGTGGTTCAAGTCAGCCCAGTAAGAAAAGTCCTTGAGATTCCATCTCCAGCAAAAAGTGGGACTAAAGGCAAGACTCCAGTTCCAGGTGAGCAAGATACTGGCAAACAAACAAATAAACAATTTAAATGTTAATTAAAAGGCAATTTAAGACATATAGTTTTTTGGAAATCCATTATATTCTTAAGAGAATCAAGGAGGTCCAGGAACATCTTAGGCCTCTGTCCCATGATGTAATCTACTAGGCCTGGGAAACTTGTGGCACTGGATTTGGGACCTGGATAGCAATGCCTAGATGCCCACAGACAGCATGCCCGAGTTGGAGGTACTGTTATTGTTGGACTCAATAACTACATTTCACTGCTATGGGTAATGAAAATCTCTATTTAATAACATTTTTTTTGTAGTACTGAGGATTGAACCTTGTGCTTACTAGGCAAGCATTCTATCACTTGAGCTCATACTGATTTCATTTGTACACGGAAGGAAATGTGAAATCAGGCTTAGACTCTCTCTCTCTCTCTCTGATTTTAAAGTAATTCCTTTCCACAGTTCATCCATTACATTTTCATTTCTTAGGTCCTAAAAGGGTAGCAACATGTTGAACACCATAGAAGGAATAAGAAGGTACAATGAATTCTTTATCCCACCAGGAGTATATGATCTTCTAGGGAAAAAAAGGCAAGAGTGAATAACCAACAGAAGGTGGGGAAAGGTGCAGAGCCTTGGAAAGCCTAGTGGAGGGACAGCCTTCCTCAAGCTTCAGTGATTAAGAAAGCTTCACGAACCATTGGGACTCCACTGTGGTAGGATTTCAACTGGAACGCATGACACTTTGTTTATTCCCATGCTAAACAGAGAATCTGGGATGCGAAAGTAGAAACTATGCTTAAGACAAAGTCAACAAAAGGAAAAATGGAAAATGATGGGAGAAAGAGTGTGGGATAAAGTCAGACAGGTAGAGCTACATGGTGGCTGGCTCTAATGATTTGTGAAGCTAAAGAATTTGTGCTCTATTCAGAAATGAGTAGGTTGTCACTGAAGCCTCTGGTGAAGTGAGCATTGTGCTCAGAGAGGGTAAGACTGGAGGATTTTTTTTTTTTTTTTGCCAGTTGTAGGGGCTGAGCTCTGGGCCTGGGTGCCATTCCTCAGCTCTTCAGCTCAAGGCTAGCATTCTACCACTTGAGCCACAATGTCACTTCTGGCTTTTCTCTGCTAATGTGGTGCTGACGAATTGAACCCAGGGCCTTATGCATGAGAGGCATGCACTCTACCACTGAGCCAACTTCCCAGCCCAAGTCTAGAAATTTTTATGTTGCTTTATCAGCTTACAAGTTTTCTTTCACCTCTTTTAAGCATTAGCCTTACTAACTCACTTTCTCTATCACCTTCCCATCAATTTTATTCATTTTGGCCTTTTTAACTAGTGTCTAATGTTTTCTACTGGTAGGAGGAAGCAAGGAAGCAAAACAGAAATCTTTCTTGTTGGAATTTTTCAATGATAACCTAAAGGAATCATTAGACACAGAATATACTGGCTAAAATTGTTGGGAAGTCCCAAAAGGCTACATTATTTTTTTTCCTCAGCAGAATCTCTCCCATGTAGTTCTTCACTGGCAGCCAAAGTAAATTTGTAATTTCACTAGTGAAGACTTCAGATGGGAGCATATATAGCTTTCTACTAATTTTTTTTCAATACAAAATAAAACTTAAAACAGAATCTGTATTCAGGGAGTTAGAAATAGGTTCTTCAGACCACCCACAGCCATGTCCAAAGGGAGAATTCTGAATTGATATATTCAGGAGGAAAGAAAAATAAAATAAAATCTTTGAAAATAGAGTACATCAATGAAGACAAAAAGATAGTTAAGTAGAAATTTGAAACTATGTCTTAATGCACAACTGATAGGTAACAAATACTTTTCTGTGAACTTATGTATTTCATTATTCATTTAGAAACTTAGGAGTTTTTCTAACTTAATAACCAAGTAAAACTTTTCTTCACACTCATTCCCAGTTCCTTTTGCATTTTATTATAATTTACTCTATAGTGATACATGATTTTCTTTTCTTTTTTTTTCTTTTTTTTGTAGATCGTGGAGCTTGAACTCTGGGCTTGGGTACCGTCCCTGTACTCCTCAGCTCAAGGCGAGCACTCTACCACTTGAGTCACAGTGCCACTTCCGGTTTTCTAGTGGTTTGTTGGAGATAGAGTCTCACGGATTTTCCTTCCTGGGCTGGCTTTGAACCGTGATCCTCAGATCTCAGCTTCCTGAAGTAGCTAGGATTATAGGCGTGAGCCACCAGCACTGGCTTGATACATGACTTTCTAAAGAAAAACTAAATATCTAAACAACTTCAAAAGATTCCCTAATTAATTTAAATGTAAGGGAAATCATTAACAAGCAAACCAAGGAAAATAAAGTACTGAATGTATATTGGTTCATTTATATATTCACAAAAATTTTAATTATTAGTATATCAAAATTTAGGTATTGGGCTGGGAAGGTGGCTCAGTGGTGCAGCTCCTGTCTTGCATGCATGAGGTCCTAGATTCGATTCCTCAGCACCACATA